CCGGAGGCTGCGAGGCGAAGAGCCAGACCCCGAGCCGCTGGCGCGCGGCGTGCCGGTGCAGTGGCTCTCACGGGTGTCGTGGGCGTGCGCCAAGGCCGGCCAGAGGCTCGGAGTTCAGCACGAGGCGCGGGCCGTGCTGGCCGAGGTGGCCGCGCTCTTCGTGGGCACCCGCGCGGGCCGCGACGGCAGGATCGCGCCGAAGCCCCGGGACGTCGCTAACCTCCTCTGGGCGTTTGGGACGCTGCAGGTGATCGGAAGTCGCCAACTACACACCTGCGCCGATCCTGGCCAGGCCCATACTGGGCCCAAGCTTGGTGCATTCGTGCATTCGCCTTCCTGGTCAAGCCTGGATGGCGGATACACCAATCCTGGGTCCAGGATGGTCCTGGCCAGGATCTGTGCAGGTGTACTGATGCTGGCCCCCTCCTAGGTGAGCGACCCGGCGTTCCTGAGAGGCGTTGTCGAGGCTGGCGCCAAGATGCCGTCTCCTCCTCGTCGTCGTCCTCCTCCCTCTCCTCGCAGGGGCAGGTTCGGGCCAGCCTGGGTCCCGAAGGGCGGATGTCATGCGCTCACGTTGTGGCGCAAGCGTTTTCGGGACTACGCCGCCCGCCGCTCTGAGCAACACGCCAAGGCGAGCCCCCTCACGCGTCGGGCCCCGGTGGCCACTCCTCCAAAGGTAGGCGGGTGTTTGGGCCGCAAAGACATGGATGGAGGGAGGAGGGAGGGAACGAGGGAAGGAGGGGAGGAGGAGGAGGAGGAGGAGGAGGAGGAGGAGGAGGAGGAGGAGGAGGAGGAGGAGGAGGAGGAGGAGGAGGAGGAGGAGGAGGACCAGTGTAAACCTGAGACGCATCAGCGATGTTGCAGTAAACCCTCCCTCCAAGTTCCACCTTCATAGGGCCCCACGATAATGTGTTCCCACTGCGGTGAATGCCCCACTGGAAGACGAACGTCTGAGAATCCTCACCGTGCCAGAACACCATCCCTCGGACTTCAGCGTCGCGAGTCAGCGTGACTGTTGCGGCCTGACAATCCTAAACCGCGTCATAACACCATTCCTGGGACTTCATCATCGCGAAGCAACATGTCTTTTGTGTCCTGAGAGCACCATTGCTGGGACTTCGACCATGCGAATCCTCGAAGATGTTGGACACTTTCGAAACGAATGATAGCGGTGCTAAGGCGAGAGTCAAACTTTGAAAGAGAACAACCCTTCTTAAGTGGAAGTGCTGTCATCTTTTAAGACGAATGTGCGCGGCGCAAACTTTTAGGACGAACGTGCGCGGTGCTACTGCGAGAGCCACATTGTGAAAACGACCCGCCCTCGATTCGTGAAGCTGATCCACACTTTTAACCGAAAGGGCGCGGCGTTAAGGTGATATTCACGTTTGGAAAACGGCGCGCCCTCTATCCGCGAAGCTGTTGCATTTTCATTTGGGACTTCTGCAACTGTCAAGCTCCCGGATCATAGATGGCGGGTAAGTCTCAGGCGAAATGACCGGCCCGCCCTACCGAAACGTTGGGGGGTAGGACAGGGAGGATTTTTTTTGTATAAGGAAGAGGGATCTGAACAGAGCTCAAGCCATTACTTCGGCCAGTGCTGGTCCACTCTAGCAGCGCCCTGCTCATTGCACAGCTGAGGAGGCCCATAATACAATAATGCTAGCATGCAAGTGCTTGTTTTTGGAGGTGGAGGGGGGGAGGAGAAGGAGGAGGAGGAGGAGGAGGACCAGTGCAAGCTCCCTCTTCATAGGCCCCTACAACGGTTCATGTCCATTGAGGGAATTGCCTCGTTCGAAGACTACCGTTTGAAGACCCTGACGCATGCTGAAACATGCCAAAACATGGTTCCCGGGATTCCAGCGCCACGGATGAATCAGACTGTTTCGTCTTGACGATCCTGAATCATTCCAGAACGCCATTTCTGGGACTTCAACCCAGCGATCAACGTAACGGTTGCACCCGCATAATCTTGAGTCCGTTCAAAGCACCATTTCTGGTACGTAGATGATGGAAAGCTGTGGAACTTTTGAAACGTTTGTAAACGAATGTGCGCCGCGCTAAGGCGAGAGCCACATGTTGAAAAGGAACCGCCTTCGATCCGTGAAGCTCTTGCATTTTTTACAACGAATGTGCGACGCGCTAAGGTGAGAGCCACATTTTGAAAACGACCCGCCCTCAATCAGTGAAACCCTTGGAGGAGGAGGAGGAAGAAGAAGAGGAGGAGGAGGAGGAGGAGGAGGAGAAGGAGGAGCCTGGTTTGCGCGGACCTGCGCTGGTTTCTCCGACGGCTTTGGTTTGTCGAGCCACTCAAGTTGCTGCCAGTACTTCTTTGCGGTCGCCATATCTCCAGAATTCTCGGCCAGCTGCACCATCGACAACAATTGCTCGCGCGACAAGTCTGCTGACTGAGGCTTGACTTTGGCCTGTATGGCCGACTTGCACTTGGCTGCCATGTCTTTGTCCCTTCATGATTCGGCGAGGGCCACGAGAACTTGCATGGCGTCGACGTCGAGCTCTTCCAAGGGCTTAGCACCGCTGCCAGCACCACGAGGTGGACCATCTTTAGCCCACGGCGGCTTCTTGCCCCCCCCTCCCTGTGTTCGAAATTCCACAGTGGTTTCACCACTTCCAGTGCAGGAGGTTTTTCGATCATAGCCACAACGCCACAACGCCACAACGCCAACCCTCGCCACAACGCTAACCCGTGCCCCCTGGCTGTCTAGATGCCGAGCGCGATGGCCTTCGCCCACCTTTGCCAGCCTTGCCACGGCCCTCGCGACCCGCAGCAGTCCCTGTCAATGCGAGATGGCGGTCTTCGTGGGGACTGCCGAGCACCTGCCTGACCTGAGTCAGGGCGAGGGCCACGCGGGCTTGGGCTCGCCTCTTTCTCAGCCGCCTGTGCCAGGCAGATACAGCGAGCGGCCACGGCGAGCGGCCGCCGTGGGGGAGAATTGAGGGATGAAATTGCACCACCGCCCGCTTAACACGGGCGAACGGCTGGTGTTTCGCGGAAAACGGGCGGCCCAAACAGCCCGAGCGCAAAATGCTTATCGGAGAAAGGGATGGGGGAAGACGAGGAGGAGGAGGAGGAGGAGGCGGAGGAGGATGATGATGATGAGGAGGAGGAGGAGGGGGAGGATGAGGAGGAAGAGGAGGAGGGGGAGGAGAATGATGAGGAGGAGGATGAGGAGGAGGGGGAGGGGGAGGAGGAGGAGGAGGAATAAGATGACGATGATGCTGATGACCCTGCTGCCAAGTATGACTATGATGGTAGTGATGATGACGATGATAATGAGGATGATGATGCTGATGATGATACTGATGCTGAGTCTGCTGCTGATGCGGATGGTGATGCTGCTGAATGATGGTGACGACGATAACGATGCTGAGGCTGATGCTGATGATTCTGATGATGATGCTTATGATCATGATGATTATGCTGACAATGATGATGCTGCTGGCGATGCTGCTGATGACGATGATTTTGATGAGGATGACGAGGATGCTAATACTACTAATAATGATGCTGCTGCTGCTGATGTTAATGATGACGCTGCTGAGAAAGATGATGCTGATGATTACGATGCTGGTGATGACGACTATGATGATGCTGCTGCTGAGGATGATGATGGCGACGATGACGCTGATGAGCATGCTGCTGATGATGCTGATGATGACGCTGTCGCTGATGATTCTGATGCTGATGGTGATGCTGATGCTGGCGACGACGACGATGCTGGTGATGATGCTAGTGGTGCCGACGCCGACGACGATGATGTCGAGGCTGATGATGATGATGCTGATGCTGATGCTGCTGATTATGATGATGATGATGATGATGCTATCGCTGCTGATGTCGATGACGATGCCGCTGATGATGATGACGATGATGCGGATGATGGTGTTGATGCTTCTGCTGCTGCTGATGACGATGACGCTGCTGAGAACGATGATGCTGATGATGATGCTGATGATGCTGACGATGGTGATGACGATGCTGCTGATGTTGATAAGGATGATGCTGATGCGCATGCTGATGATGGTGATGATGATGATGCTGATTAGGCTGATGATGATGCTGATGCTGCTGATGATGATGATGATGCTGATGCTGCTGTTGATGATGATGATGATGATGATGATGCGGATGATGGTGCTGATGCTGCGGCTGATGGTGCTGATTCGGATGATTCTGGTGATGGTGATGACGACATCGATGACGATGAGGATGAGGATGATGTTGATGATGATGAGGATGATGCTGCTGATGCTGATGATGCTGATGATGATGATTCTGCTGATGATGATGAGGATGAGGATGATGACGATGTCTGATGATACTGATGATGATTCTGATGCTGACGATGCTGTTGTTGCTGGTGGGGGCAGTGATGATGATGATGATGATGATGACGACGACGACGACCCTGACGATGATGTCGATGATGACATTGTTGATATTCATGCACATGTCGTTTTCGGTGTTTGTTGTTTGTTGTTGTTCGTTGTTGTTGCTGCTACTGCTGCTTTTGTTGTTTATGTTGTTGATGTGGTCGTGATTGCGATTGTGGTTGTTGTGGTTGTTGCTGCTGCTGCTGTTGTTGTTGTTGTTGTTGTTGTTGTTGTTGTTCTTGTTGTTGTTGTTGGTTTTGGTGGTGGTGATGAGGAGGATGCTGAGGAGGAGGATGAGGATGAGGAGGAGGAGGAGGATTAGGAGGAGGACGGAGGGAATGAGGAAGATAATCCGCAGGAGCAGAGAATCGTAATCTAATTATCTTAATATCCGGAAGAGTTAATGCGAATCAGAGGAGCACAATGAGTGGAAATGGAGGGTGACGAGGGTGCGAATGAGGAGACGGAGGAGGAGCATGAGGAAACGATAGAGAAACAGGAGGAGGAGGAACAGGAGCAAGGCCAAAATGCCTGGTGGGCTAGCGGTTCAGGGCTTGCGTGCTCGACATTGCCTGGTGGGCTAGCGGTTCAGAGCTTGCGTGCTCGACATGGCTAACGACTTGGGGCCCCAGGACACTGCGAGCACTTCATCCTGCGTCATCCTCCGCATCCTCTCCCTCTCTCTCTCTCTCTCTTCTTGCTCCTCCTCCTCCTCCTCCCTTTCTCTTATTTCTCCTTATTTGCACTTCCCTCCCTCCCTCCCCTCCCTTCCCCCCCTCCCTCGGCGAGCAGGGTTGGGGCGGTCTCGAGGCCACGTGCGTGATGCGCAACAGCTGCAAACCAAACCACACTTATTTAATCGCTTCGCTCATTCCGCCGGCCCGTATTGTGCCATCGCAGGCGTTTGCTTGCGCGTTCGTGGCCTGGTGGAGCCTCGGTGGGGCCGTTTGGGGCCTCTTGGCGCCTCTTTTTAGGCCTCTTGGAGAACTCGGGAGGCCTCCAGGGGGCCTCCTGAGCTCTCGTGACGGTCTCTTGGGGGGCTTTCGGCGGGCTCTTGGCGGTATTTGTTGGTCCTCTTGGGGCCTGGGGCCTGACGTTGTTGGTCCTCTTGGGGCCTCACGGGAGCTTATTGGGGCGTCTTGGGGGTGTCTTGGAGAGTCTCTTGGGGCCTCTTTCGGGGTCCTGGGCGCCTTCTGGGGCGGAGGGCTCGATTTTTCAGTTCTCGGTTCCCTTCTTGAGCCCCTCTTGGGCCCGTCTTGGGGCCTCTTGGTCCGCCTTGGGCAGCACTTGGGCCGTCTGGGGGGCGCTCTTGGGCCGCTCCGGGGCCGTCTTGGGAGCCTCGTGGGCCGTCTTGGAGCAGTCTTGAAGGCCTCTTGGGCCCTCTTGGAGCGTCCGGAAGCGAAAAGGCCAGAACGCAAAAAAACATAGAAAAAACCAATGAAAATCAACGATTTTGGCAACTTGGGGCCCTCTTCGGAGGCCTCTTGGAAGGCCCTTGGAGCGTCTTGGAGGCCTCTTGGGCTGTCTTGGGGCCATCTGGGGCGTCTTCGGGCGATCTTTGGCTGTCTCGGGCCTCTCTTGGACCGTCTAGAAAGCTTCTCGGGGCCCTCTTGGACCGATCTGGAGCCCTCTTGGACTCCGAAACAGAACTCCGGCATCTCTGACCCGACCTTGCCGGGGACTTGCCGGGGACTTGCCGGGACCTTGCCGGGGTACTTTTCGTCCGGGGACCCCCAGGGGCCGCCCCGCGCGCGCGAACTAGAAATACTGTTAACCAGGTACCGGAGATCTTAGCACGCCCTGGCCCGTTGGGCCGGCGAATTCCTATTCCCTCTTTTCCCTCTCCTCCTGCTCCTCTCCCCCTCTCCCGCTCTCTTCCTTCCCCCCTCCACCTTCTTCTCCCCCCCTGTCTGGGGGGCGGAGCCTCGCAACTCCAGGGGTTGCAGGGGGGGGGGCCCGAGCTGTGCGCAGCCACGCGTCTTGGGGCCCAGGGCGCCCGAGACCAGGAGGGAGGAGGGAGGGAGGGAGGGAGGCAGGGAGGGAGGAGGTGGACCAGGAGAAGGAGGAGGAGGAGGAGGAGGAGGAGGAGGAGGAGGAGGAACCCCGCGGCCCAGGTTCCCGCGCGGGGGCTCAAAGAGGGGGTGGAACCGCTGCCGAGGTCGAACTCCTGCGCGCGTTTAGCCTTTTTCCAGCAGGAGTTTGAGAAGCAAGCCCCCTGTCGAGGTCGGACTGATCCGCGCCCCTCAGCGTATAAGCTTCAGATTTTATATTGGACGAATGTTCGTCATAAGTAGCAGATGTCAAACATATTCTCAGGATGGAGAGCTTGCCCCGAGCCTTCTTGGTTGCCAGGAGGCTTACTCCAAGCTGGGCCATCGCGTTGCCAGTGCTGTTTCCAGGACGCGGGCCAGTAAGCCCGCTCTAGGCCCGCCCGCTCGCCTGGAGTGCACATCGCGTGGCCCTCGTATTGCAAAGCTCTTACGGCCAGCTCTGCCGACCCTGAGAAGAGGACAGCTTGGGCACAAGAGGTGGAAGGGCGACGGGAGCCAGGGGCAGTGTCGGCTTTACTGCGAGGGCGAAAATCTGATGACCTTCGGCCCATCCCGTCACTGTGTCGGGGTTACGTAAAGGCCTCGGGCGCAGTCTTGGGGCTCTTGGGGAGCCTTTCTTTGTTGGAGGGTCCCTCGTGGGCCACTTTGGTGAGTCTAGGGCCCCCGAGGGCCGAGATCTCAGCGAAAAGCCGCCCGGTCGGGCCGGCGGTTCGTCCCGAGTCGCTTTGTCGACGGCCTCGAAGGCCCCTGGCGAGAGCCCCCCGCGGCCGAGGTATCAGCGAAAAGCACAGCCCGCTCCAACCTTTTGGGAGCTTACGACCTCTGTGTCTGGGGCCGCGGATCGAACAACCATATCGGAGGATAGTAGCAGTAGTAGCAGTAGTAGTAGTAGTAGTAGTAGTAGTAGTAGTAGTAGTAGTAGTAGTAGTAGTAGTAGTAGTCGTAGTCGTAGTCGTAGAAGTAGTAGTAGTAGTAGTAGTAGTAGTAGTAGTAGTAGTAGTAGTAGTAATAGTAGTAGTAGTAGTAGTAGTAGTAGTAGTAGTAGTAGTAGTAGTAGTAGTAGTAGCAGTAGTAGTAGTAGTAGTAGTAGTAGTAGTAGTAGTAGTAGTAGGAGTAGTAGTAGTAGTAGTAGTAGTAGGAGTAGTAATAGTAGTAGTAGTCATCGTAGTCGTAGTCGTAGTCGTAGTAGTAGTAGTAGTAGTAGTAGTAGTAGTAGTAGTAGTAGTAGTAGTAGTAGTAGTAGTCGTAGTCGTACCTGGCAAGGGTCGGGAGGGAAGTCATCGGGCGTTGTTGGCCCTCAGTCGGGCCTCCAGAGGCCGCCGGAGACCTCCTGAGACTCCCGTGAGAGCCGAAGTTGCCAACAACAGCATCGCGATAAGTCACGACCAGAGCCACAGACTCCATCTTTCTGCGGTATTTTTAGAACCGGATCATATGTGCTCCATCCGTGGACTGTCTGAAGTCATTGAGCTTCGAGATCAGAGTTATGAGGACACGCCTGGCCCGCCCTCACGACACCCCTCTGACGAAACACCTGGTGGTGCAGGGAGGATGCATCCAGCTGCCTTCGAAAAGTCCCGCCACCGTGCTAGCTCAGTACTCTCGGAGGCGACTGTTCGAAGGGCGAGAGGAGGCTGTAATCCGAGCCGAGCGGCGTTAAAGGGACAGTGTGCGTGGACGGTTGGAGTAATGGTCAGAACGCTGTCACATGTCATGCTCCGATCGTGTGAGGTCGTCCTGGGGCGGACTGGGAGGAGGAAGGAAACGATCACGAGGGGGGTGTAAGGAGGAGGAGGAGGAGGAGGAGAAGGAAGAGAAGGAGGAGGAGGCGGAGGAGAAGAGGAGGAGGAGGAGGAGGAGGAGGACCAGTGTTAAACCACCAAGAGGCATCAACGATGTTTGAATAATCCCTCCCTCCAAGCTCCCTCTTCATAGGCCCCTACAACGGTTCGTTTCCACTGGGGGAACTGCCTCGTTGGAAGACAACCGTTTGAAGACTGAAGCATGCCCAAATATTGTTCTCGGGATTCCAAAGCCACGGAACAACCTGACAGTTGCGTCTTGACGACCCTGAATCATGCCAGAACGCCATTCCTGGGACTTCAACACAGCGAATCAACGTAACTGTTGCGCCCTTATATGCCTGAATCCTTTTTAAACAACATTTCTGGTACGTTGGTGATGGGAACCCCTGAAACTCTTGCAATTTGTGTAAACGAATGTGCGCGGTGCTAAGGCGAGAACCACATTTTGAAAAGGAACCGCCCTCAATCCGTGAAGTTCTTGCCAATTTTAGAACGAGTATACGCCGCGCTAAGGCGAGAGCCACATTTTGAAAACGGGTGGCCCTCGATCCGTGGAATTCTTGCAACGTTTCAAAACGAATATGCGCCGCGCTAATGCTAGAACCACATTTGAAAACCATCCGCCCTCAGTCTGTGAATCTCTTGTTATTTTTAGCACGAATGTGCGCCGCGCTAAGGCGAGAGCCACATTTTGAAAACGACCCGCCCTCCATCTGTGAAGCTGTTGTCAATGTGTAAGCTTCAGTCGGGGGTGAGGAAGTCTCAGGCGAAACGCCCGGCCCGCCCTAAAAACTTGCCTCGGGGTGCGACAGGGAGAAATTCTTTATAAGGAAAAGGAATGGAGTAGGAGGAGAAGGAGGAGGAGGAGGCGGAGGGCTCTGAGGGCTTAGATGATACGAGCCGCTCCTGCGGTCCCTGGCCACGCGAGGGTCAGCGCGGAGGGGGGGAAGAGCCACCCGCGCACCAGGCGACGCGCCAACCACGCCGAGCCAATAAGGCCCGGCCACGAGGAGCCACACAAGGTCCCAGGCCCCAAAGGGCCAAGCCAACCCTACCACGTCCCGGGGAGGAACGTGGTGAGGCTGTAGCCGTGCGCGGAAGGATCCCCCCCCACGCCCCCGACCCCAAGTCAGACCGAAACGACCTTGCACAGGGAAGTGCCGGAAAACCTCTGCCAATTCTGGTCGCTGCCATCTTCACGCAGAATGCCCCACGCGTCCACGGCCTCACGCGGCATGCGCCACGCGAATCCAATGAAGCGATCTTCACTGCAACGGTCCCCAGCATCCCCATCAACCAGAATGGCGAACTTGCCAAACAACTTTGGCTCGATCTTGCCATTCATTTTCGTCTCGGCTGCGCCAATGCTTGCAAGAGTGCTTGAGGACGTGCTGATGACGCCCATCTTCACCTCACATCCACCATGGCTCGCCCGCGCTGCGCCGCTTCGAAGTGCGCGCGGGCAAGGCCCCTTTGGGCCCGCGGCGGCTAGGACGAGGCGCAGGAGGAGGAGGAGGAGGAGGAGGAGGAGGAGGAGGCGAAGGCGGAGGAAAAGGAGGAGGAGGAGGAGGAGGAGGAGGAGGAGGAGGAGGAGGAGGAGCAGGAGCATCGTAGTGGGCGGGTGCGATGTGGAACACTATCATGGTGATGATGGTGGGAAGGAGGAGGTGGAGGAGGTGGAAGAGGAGGAAGAAAACCGTCACATAAGATGTGATGTTTTTGTCAGCATATCTTGAGGTGCTCTAATGGTGCCCAGTTGGACCGTCTCACTTGGGGTCTTCTTGGGCCGTATTGGGGCCCTCTTGGGCTATCGTGGGGCTGTGTTGGTTCGTCTTGGGGCCCTTCCTCTCGGCCGCTTGGGAGGTCTGTTGACGCTGTCGCGGATCCGTCTTGGGGCCGTCCTGGACCGCCGACGGGCCCCCCTCTTGCGCCGTTCTTGTACTGTCTTGGGGCTCTCTTGGCCGTCTTCTTGGGGCCGTCGTAGAGCTGTCTTGGTGCCGTCTTGGGCCATCGAGGGTGCTTCTGAGACCGTCTTCGGTCCCTCCGGAGGCTCCCTTGGGTCAACCTGGGGCTTTCTTGGGGCCGTCTTGGGCCGTCTAGGGACCCTCTTGGGCTGTCTTGAAGCCGCTTTGAAGGATGGTATGGCTATTCTGGAGCTTCCTTGGGCCATTTCGGGGCCACCTTGGAGGCCCCATCTTTGGCTTCAGGCAAACAAAAACATAAACTTCTCCTCCCCTCCCCCCTGCCCCCCCCCCCCCAGACATCTGGCTGCTCCGATTTTTTCGACTCGTGGGCCCCAGAGGTCTGGACCCTTTCCCTGGGGCCCGTTTTTGATCTGGAGTCGTTTTTGGACGGTCCCGAGGCCCAGCAAAAAACGGCCTCGGCCGAAGACGGCCCCCCAAACCGCCCGTTCCAATCTTTTCTGGAGCCCCTCGGAGCTCTGCCCCCCCAGAGCCCCGAGGACACCGCGAACGCGCTGTGGGCCCTGGAGCGCCTGCGGGCGCTCGACCTCGAGCTGCTCGCGGCCCTGGGCGGGCAGGCCCTCCGCAGCCTGCGGCTCCTGAGGCCCGCTGGCCTCGCCGCCGTGCTCACCGCGCTCGCGCGCGCGTGCCGCGGCGTGCCCCCCGAGCGGTGGCCGCCCGTGGTGCCCCGGCTCGTCGGCGCCGTCGCCGGTGAGGTCTTCTCCACGATTTTTTTGTTGTTTCTTTTATTCGTTGTTTGTTGTTTTTTGTTGCTGTTTTCTGTTTTCCCTCCCCCCCCGACGCTATCAAACAGAGCAAACGGGTCCTGAGGGAGACGGGTCCTGGACGTGTTTTTTTTTGCAGCTCTCGGGCTCCGGGGCCCTCCCTGGCTCCAGGGCCGTGCCACGAGACGGTCCAGGATGAAGAGCCCTGGTCGTGGGAGAGGGGGCCCCAGGGTCCTCAAAGGTAGCCCTAGTCCAAAGGATGACGGCCCACAAAGGTAGCCCTAGTCCAAAGGATGAAGGCGCTCGAGAGGACTGAGCTGCATGATCTTCAGGGCCATCTCGCAAGATGCTCTCATCATAGTAGCACGTGCACCAGGGTCCACGGAACCCGTTTCCCTCGGGGGGCCCGGTTCCTTCACGCCATGAGGTCCCCGCGCTCGTGGCCCCGGGGCGGTGCGGCCACGCCGAGTTCGCGCAGGTCTGCTGGGCGTTCGCGACGCTGGCTCACACGGAGCCAGCCACCTACGAGCGTCTGGCCGCCGCCGGAGCCGCGATCGGATGGGGTGTGCTCCAGCCTCGGGACCTGGGGACTGTGGCGTGGAGCTTCGCCACGGCGGGCACGGCGACGGAGCCGTTCATGCGTGCCGTCGCCGCAGCGTCAGTGCCCGCCGTGTCGCAGTTCGACCCGCAGGGCGTCGCGAATCTCTGCTGGGCCTTCGCGGCCTCGAGGGCGGAGTCCTCGGGCGAGCTCTTCGCCGCCGTGTGCCCCCACGCCGCCGAGGCGGCGAAGGCGGGGGCGTACAGCGCGCGCCAGCTGTCGAACATATCCTGGGCGTTCGCCAGCTCTGCCTGCCTCGACGACGAGCTCATGGAAAGCGTCGCGCTGCAGTCGTGCAGGCACATCAGGGAGTTCCGTGGCGCCGAGCTGGGAGCGCTGGTGTGGTCCTTCGCGACCGTGTCGGCGGGCGGCTGCCACGCGGCGGCCCTCGCCGAGGCGGCGGCCAAGGAGCTGGTCGCCTCGCCGGGTGCGCCCGACGCCTCCTGGACGGCGCGGGAGGTGGCCAACACGGTGTGGGCGCTGGCCGTGCTCGACCACCACAGCGGCGCGGCCGTCCGCCACGCCGCCGGCGTGCTCTCCCGAGCGCGGCAGGCAGGTGTCGGGGGTTCGCAGAGGGAGGGCCCTCCCAAGGTGGGGCTGGGGAGCGGGTCCAGCTGTCTGCTCCCGTTGAGCGCGTTTTTCCTTCTTCCAGGGGCCGCTCGCAGCGATTATCCGTCCAACCCCACCTTTGCCTCCACCCCTCCTTTGTGCCCTCCCGAAGGTGAGGCTCTGGACATGCACCTGGGGCAGTGGTGGGCCCCCCCTGCTCCCCAGCTCGGCGGGCCGGCAGTGCGAGGAGATCGAAGCAGGCAAAGCGGCGTAAGCATTCACTTTCGGAGGTCCACGCGGATGTCTTGGATCGGCGCTGGGCCTCCTTTCGGCGCCTCCAGCGCCCCCCGCGCGCCAGGGAGGGGCGGTCCAGAGACTAAATACCCAGGAAATCCGCGCGGACAGTTGGGTTGATCTTTTCTACTTATGGGAATTCATGCTGTATGCCCCTGGTGGCTGCTTTGTCCCGTCTGTTGGGATTGTGTCTGCTGTGGCTCCGTGCTCAATGTCGAGATTGTGTTCATTGATTGAACGCCCCTTAGGGGCAGGTCCCAGCGCCCCACTCTGGTCGAACGTGGTCGCTTTGATGCGCTCGTGGCAAGTTTTGATGACTGCGAGCAGACTTTGTGAGGCATAGCGGCATAATGAACACACTGAGAAGAATAGCAACAGCCATATTGCACATAGTGGTAGTACGAACAATAAGGAAGTCACTACGAATGGTCTGAATAACCCATGGTTTTATGAAATGTAAGCATGCGACTAATAAACAGATTGATCAGAAGAAGAGGGCAACGCAAACAGGAGTCCACAGAGCCCCAGAGGGCCAGAGACCGTGCAACAACCAGACAGGAGGGCCTCCAGAACGAGACCTGCAGTAGTGAATCGCTTACTGCGCTCCGCTGGTCAACGTTGTATCATCATTGGCTTTTGCTTGTGTTAGAAGAGCTTTGGAGATACTTATGAAAACGTATGGACGAGTGATCAGCCCATTCAGCCCCCAACACTGGGCAATTGTTTGACACCGTGTATGATGCCAAGGTGTGCGATTTCGGGGAGACGCATGCGCTCGATCACGGTGGCCTCGTGGGGCAGGCGTCAGAGCAGCACGGGTCTCCGCGCTACATTGGCCCGAGCTGTTACACGGGCCGATAGCAGGTGTACGGAGAAAGGCTGGCCTGCTGCCTGAAAGAGATCCGCAGAGGGGCCGCCGAATTGAATTCTAGACGCTTCGCATAAGCCCACCTGCCCAAGCAGAAACGATGCCCAGACGAGTTACCCTGATCAGGGATGTTGAGGAGCATGCAGTGGAATCCTGGGCTGGGGAAGCCGTCGTGCCCCAAGACGGGGAGGATGGAGGAGGAATCGAAGGAGGAAGATGAGGATGAGGATGAGGAGGAGGAGGAGGTGGGGGAGGTGGAGGTGGAGGTGGGGAGGTGGAGGTGGAGGAGGAGGAGGAGGAGGAGGAGGAGGAGGAGGAGGATGAGGAGGGGGAGGAGGAGGAGGGGGAGGAGGATGAGGAGGAGGAGGAGGAGGAGGGGGAGGGGGGGGGGAGGAGGGGGAGGAGGAGGAGGAGGAGGAGGAGAGGAGGGAGGAGGAGGAGGAGGAACATAGGAGGAGGAACATGGGAGGAGGAATGGGGAGGAGGAGGAGGGAGGAGGATGGAGGAGGAGGAGGAGGAGGAGGAGGAGGAGGAGGAGGTGGAGGAGGAGGAGGAGGAGGAGAGAGGAGGAGGAGGAGGAGGAGGAGGGAGGAGGGAGGAGGAGGGAGGAGGGGGGAGGGAGGAGGGAGGAGGGAGGAGGGAGGAGGGAGGAGGGAGGAGGGAGGAGGGAGGAGGGAGGGGGGGGGGAGGGAGGGAGGGAGGAGGATCAGGAGGAGGCGGAGGAGGAGGAGGAGGAGGATGAGGGGGAGGAGAGGGATGAGGAGGAGGAGGAGAAGGAGGAAGAGGAGGAGGAGGAGGAAGAGGAGGAGGCGGAGGAGTAGGAGGAGGAACATGAGGAGGATGAGGAAGAGGAGGAAGAGGATGAGGAGGTGGAGGCGGAGGAAGAGGGGGAGGAGGCGGAGGAGAGGGAGGAGGCGGAGGAGGGGGAGGAAGAGGACTAATAATCTTAATCGTAATGCGGAGAAGACTATCAATAACAATACTAAGGCGACACATACTAATATTATTACGAAGACTGATACTTTGACCACTCATACTACTAATAATAATGACCCCATTAATGAGCATACCAATAATAATAGTACTAACATGAAGAACACTATCATGTCTAACACTAAACACATTATGGTAATAATAACAGTCATGTGATCAATAAAGCGAAGTCTATAAACTGGACTCATATTATTAAGAAGAAGCCGAATAAGAAGACGAACACGAAGACGACTACGACTCATACCAATAATGCGAACAAGACTAAGACAGCACACAAGCACTACTAAGGCTATCGAGAAGTATCATACGCACCTCTCCGATGGAGTAGAGCTCAGAGGCGATTAATGCGTATGCGCCGCGTCGTCCGCGATGTTTCTGGCCGTTTCGCTAGGGACATCCTCGAACTTCTGAACATCGGTGGCACCCCTCACGCAGATCGTGACGTCAGGGTAAACACATGGGAATTTCAACATTCTAGCATACAACCTTCAAACACACATTGTAATTTCAATGATTTTGACACCGATTCTCAGAGAATGGCGGTTTCTCCTGAGACATCCTCCCACACTCGAGCCCCGACGTACCTTCTGGTACCCCAGACCCCGCCTCGGAGCCTCCTGGGGGCCTCCTGGACCTGGGGCCTCCTGGGGCTTTCTGTACCTTCTGGTACCCCAGGCCCCGCCTCGGAGCCTCCTGGGGGATCTCCTGGAACCTCCTGGGGCCTCCTGGGGCCTCCTGTGGTGCGGCCTCCTGGAGCCTCTTGTGGCCTCCTGGAGCCTCCTGGGGTCTCCTGGGGCCTCCTGCGGCCACCTGGGGGCCTCCGGGGGCCTCCTGGGGCTTCAGAACTACATGCGCACACAGAGGATCGAAACTGCAACGCCTGCAACGACTGCAACGCCTCGAAACTGAGCTCCGCCCCAGCTTCCCCTTCTCCATCTCCGATCCCGCCGTCATGGTGTCTTCCTGCTTCAGACGACCTATCAGTTTTTTTGGTATGAGCCTGGGCACACACGTGCCACTTGTAATTCTTTTAATAGTAATAAGAACAATACACATACTGTGACTCAGAATATTAATAATACTATGACAAAGAAGACGGATCATACTAGCAATCGTACTACTAACGCTAATACTACTGGTACACATCATTGCAACAAGAAATAAGAAGCAACACTATCAATACGAAAACTAATCATATAAGAGTACTATTAATCATGCTTATACTGTTATCAATGCTAATAAGAGGAATGCGAATCCTATGACTAATACTAGAACAAAGAATATGAATAAGAGTAATACTAATCATAATAATAATACTAGTGATAATGATGATAAGAAGAAGAGGAGGGGGAAGAGGATGAGGATGAGGAGTAGGGGGAGGGGGAGGAGGAGGAGGAGGAGGAGGAGGAGGACGAGGAGGAGGAGGAGGAACAGGAGGAGGAGAAGGAGGAGGAGGAGGCAGAGGGGGATTTAAACAAGTTAGGTGCGCTTCCGTCATATCTGACGTCCTACCCCTCGCTCCCATTCTTTACCATGGCGTAAATCTCCTTTCTATTCGCACAACCAGATGTTGCAACATGGCATAACATCACATGGCTTAGCATGGTGTTCAAGATCAACGCGTATCCTGACATAGCATGACGTGGCGACGCCCCAAAGTGGGGGTCTTTTGCGGCCCAGAACATCAACGAATCGACACCGAATGTGTAATCACTTCCGATGGTTTTATCGGGAGGCCATTTTCTAGATGTTGGGGCCTACTTGGAAGGACCGAAAACCATGCCATGGCATGGCGCTGGAAATAATGACGCCAGCGCTGCAGCGGGAACACGATTCGGAATGAGCGGAAGCGCGGAAATGAGGCCAGCGATGCAGCGGGAGCACGATTCGGAACAAGCGGTAGCCCGAAAATGAGGCCAACGCATCAGCGAGAGCAGCATTTTGGAATAAACCAGCCGCGGAAACGCGAAAGTGAGGACGCGTAGCCTGACATAGCATGTCGTGGCGACGCCACAAAGTGGGGGGGATTCTGCGGCCCCCCAAATCAACGTATCGACACCGAATGTGTAATCGCTTCCGATGGTTTTTCGGGGGGGTATTTTCTAGAGTTTGGGGCATGTTTGGAATGACCGAAAACCATGCCGTGGCATGGCGCTGGAAATAATGACGCCAGCGCTGCAGCGGGAACACGATTCGGAATGAGCGGAAGCGCGGAAATGAGGCCAGCGATGCAGCGGGAGCACGATTCGGAACGAGCGGTTGCCCGGAAAATGAGGCCAGCGCTTCAGCGAGAACAGCAGTTGGGAAAGACCCAAGCGATAACCCACCTCCCAGGAACCCTGTGTGTAAAAAACCAGTACGCGAAGGGGAGCCGGACATTTCTCGGACGCCACCAGGGGAGAGAGGAGAGTAGTATTCATTGTTCAGTAATTGTGGAGGAAGGAGGAGGAATAGGCGGATGAGGAAGAGAAGGAGGGGAGGAGGAGGAGGAGGAGGAGGAGGAGGAGGAGGAGGAGGCGGAGGAGGAGGCGGGGAGGAGGAGGAGGAGGAGAGGAAGGAGGAGGAGGAGGGGAGGAGGAGGAGGAGGAGGAGGAGGAGGAGGAGGAGGAGGAGGGGAGGACGGAGGAGGAGGAGGAGGAGGAGGAGGATGAGGAGGAGGAGGAGGAGGGAGGAAGAGGAGGAGTTGGAGGAGGAGGAGGAAGAGGGCAAGCAGAAAGGCCAGAAGCCTCTTCGATGCCTCTCGGAGTCTCTTCGTGTTGCTACCGAGAGCTGCTTGGAGTCCTCTTGGGGTGTCTTCGGGTCTCTTGGCAGTCCTGGGGGCCTCTTGGGGCGTCTTGGGTGCCCCTGGCGAGCCTCTTGGGGCCTCTTGGGGGTTCCTTGGGAGCCTCGTGGGGGCCTCTTGGGGGCCTCTTGGGGGCCTCTCGGGAGCCTCTTGGCGGTTCCTGGGCACCTCTTTGGGCCGTCTTGAAGCACCCTTGGGAGCTTCGGGGGCCATCTTGGGGCCATCTTGGAGGAGATCCTCAAAGGAGGCCGTAGTACAATAGGGTC